AAATACGTCAAGTAGGTGGTAGTAACTTTAAATACGTATATATTTATTATTAAAGATGTAGTATGCATATATATATAATATGTTAAAGATTACAAATAAAACATTTTATTATGAATTTTACTGTTTTATTCTATCCTTATTGGTATTTTCATTGTGTGGCGTCTATCCATATAGATAGGCATCTATCCTCAAAAAAATAGGTTTGCAAAAAGTCAATTTCTTCAAAGTCAGTAAAAGTTTGATGAATAAAATTAAGAATTAATGTAATTTTTATTATATTTATAGATTAGACTAGTTATATCTATAGGAATTGTTCATGGTAAACTAAAAATTTTTAAATTAAGAGTCCCTTTCAAAAAGTGGAGCATCTATCCCGGTTTTACCCTAGATATGTTGTTTGTACCTATAAATAACATTAAACAAAATATTGCTAATTTATGCGATACCTACGTATAATGGACAATCGAAGTTACATAATTATAAATCTAAAATAATTGATTCAATTAAAAATAGCAAATAGATTAAATATTTTTAATTTCAATTCAAAAGACATTTTTTATATCATTACATAATTTGATATTGGGACCGTTAATCATGGGAGCCGTAAACGGCCTGAAACATAATAGTTTCAATTACCATATATAACAATCAAGAAAAACGTAAGAACTTGGTATGTACAGCAGTACGGAATGAACATTGCAAACAACATCCGGGAAACCATGGCACCTGTAAAGGTCCCCAAACGATGGTTTGTCTGCAATAAAGAATATACGCGAATTAGATCCAAAATTATAATCTCAGTACAGAGTACTGCCTCCGTGGCCGAACGGCTACCACACCGGACTGCCACGCAGAGGTCCCAGAGTCGATTCCCGGGCCGAAAGTAATATTTGTATGGCTTACATTTATTTCTCTCGTGACTTTGGGTGTAATTTGTGGTGGTCTATGTGTGTGTCCATGGCACCCGCGACACAGGGTTTCCCTATTGCGGAGCTATGTTGAGTGTGTGCGTTATTATTATTAGTATTATTAGTACCTATTAAAACAACCGACCTCAAAAGTGCGTGGAATTATATGTATTTCACAAGTTTTATTGAAATCGCTTCCCGAAAAGTGCACGAAACCAGAATCATCCCCTAGTTAGACACCCTGAGAGGTGGAATATTTTTATTTTGGTGGGATTTGAATACTGAGGTACCGTCTTTCCAACAAAAAAAAAGGATCATCGAAATAGGAAGAGTTATCGCGTACATACATACAAAACAAAAGTGCATTAGTTTACTTATGCAGTTATCAGCAAATGTAAACGACCTCAAGTGTCGCCCGACAAGTCGCCGGATGTCGTGGGTGTTGTGTGTCGGTCTAGTGAGAACCCTAGTGCACAAATAAATAATGAAGATCAAGTGCGGGTAGTTAGAAAAACTCACTAGATGATGCTGACACCCGCCTCTTCAGTCCCTTCGAGACCATGGACGTTGCAGTATATATTCGAAATGTCGAAGTAATTAAAATATGTTTTATATGTGAGTATGTCCCGAATTAAAAATCAAATAATATGTGAAAATCGCGAAAGTTTAAATCAAAACATACAAACACAGGTTCGTGTCCTGTCAAATCGAAGAAATTTTTCTTTGTATTCGATCTTTGTATTAATAATTATAAGAAAATAGTGAAGTAAGAAATGAAAGTATTTTTCCGGATTTAAATCGGATATATTTGTTTTTTAAAACAAACCATAATATAACCTTAGTGAAGTAATTTCACAAAAAATAACTTAACATCCTTGTATTAAAACATCATAATATATTATTCCATAACATCAATATTAATACGACTGTTTATACGTGTAATACGGTCACAGGGGTCTCTAATTTCGCGAAATTACAATTGCCATATGAAAGTTAATCCTGGTTTTTATAAACTTCGGTTACCAACTTCGTGTATCAGCTTGACCGGAGCAACAATAATACCGCCTGTTTCGAGTTTGAAAATAGCAAAGTTTACTCCATTAGTAAACCAAAACTATCAAATTCAAATTCAATCAAGAGAACTAAACAAATTGTAATCACAAAACATCCGACTACTTTTAAAAATAGAATTCTCATCACCTGCTGTATAAAAATACATTGAATTCTTACAGACCAATATATGAAGTTTTATTTCCCTTTGTCCCGAATGATTTCAGATTTGGAGTTCACCGGCTCCAGTCGATAATGAAAAAACGTGTCTTGCACTGTAAAGGGTATGGAATTATATTTAAGAAGTACTTTTGGCGAATGACGAATGCTGGATACAAGTGAACTAGCATCACATCACCAGACTACCTACAGCAGTATTAATTTGTAATCAATAGGATTCATCTTTTTCTAATAACATTAATATAATTTATCTAAAATTTTTTAATAATAATATAATAACGCCCACACTCATAATGGGCCCGCACTAGGGAAAACCTGTGTTGCGGGTGATATACACCTACACGTAGGCAACCCAAACTCATAATGTAGGCCATGTAAATGTTTCTCCTGGCTCAGGTATCGAATCTGGGACTTCTGCGTAATAGCCCAGGATGTAACCTTTCGGCCATGGACGCAGTTCTGTCAGTTAACGTCTTGCGTAGATAGTATTAAAACATTACAAAGGTGTAACGATTTTACAACGAAAGAAACAAATCAAAATATTGTCAAGAAAACTTAGATATTGTTTTTTTTTACTAAATGTATCTTTGATTTGACAAAACCTGTCGCTTTATATAAATTTTAAAGAAATAGAGCTTTTTTATTATTTGCTTTTCAACGAGCTTTAGGTATGTTACAGTTCTTGTCAGGCATGATTCAATGAACAAAGAAAAAAGTAAAAAGAAAAATTTTCATATAGTAGTCGATAATGTGTCGACATTACGACTGACGATAAATAAATATTCAGTGAAAAATAAAGCACACGAAGCTAATTAGGAGAAATATTATGTCCAATATTAGACATTTGATGATTGACTTAATTAGCTAATTTTGCTAAAATATAAATGCTTAAAAGGACATTTTTTTTATTCTAAAGTGACCACACTCGGTTTTACAATTTTAAATGCCGGCGTTTAACTTTGTTTGAAACAAAACATGAAATTGGTAATTTATATTCCCGCTAGACCCCTTTCATTTTCAACTCTAAACGGTTATGTTAATAAAATTCAGTAGCATTTGTTTTTAGAAATAAGTACTTTGACGAACACGACCATTGTTTTAAATTACAATAAATACCGTCGAGAAAGTTATTTGTAGAGTCATTTAGAAAGTTAAATCGTAGCTTATAAAGATAATATCAACTTTTTTAGTAAGAAAATAGGCAGGTACTATTCTTATGAACACAAAATACGATAAATTGCATTTTCACAATAAAGAACTACCTTTAGTTTGATCATATACCTATACGACGAAAGAATTATAAGCTCTGTTAAGGAACAAAATTATGATTTAACAAAAAACATGCCCATAAATTCACTCTTACAAATTTACAAATTCGGTCCCGTCATTAAAACCCGTGACAGACATAAATCACAACCGAAGACAAATTGAACGGAGTCCTACTGCTTTTATCATTCAAAGTCAAAGTTATGCATATGTTAAACATACGTATGCATAAGTATAAATACATGATTTCGCCTATAGCCCTACGTGGTTCAATCCGCTTTATTCCCGGGGCTCAGTTCCTCGAGCGATACCAAAAGCTGCGGTACCATAGATGTGCTGTCAGCTTCAAATTTGAATTTGGAACGAAAGGAAGTCCCCGGTAATGGCACAAGTTAGATGAAACGGAGTGCGGGGGTCGCGGGGGAAGCTCTATCGGTAAAATGGTACTTCGACGGAGTTACGTCGGTAAAACTTCAACTTTGACTAAATATTTCCTCTGGGGTCACAGTTGGGACGTAAAAAATATGGGCTTAGACAATTTAAACTCTGCCTTATCTGCAATTTTTACCGTTGAAGTGACATTCTATCGTTGAAGTCAAGACACATATGTGTTTATTTACTCAGAAATCACAGAAGCTAGGCTACAACTGAATATTAACAAAATTTAGTAAATGTAAAATAACCTTATTTAAAGTTTACAATATATACTAGAACAATAAAAAATTGGCAACTTAAATTCTATAACTGTAATAACATCTTTCATTAAGCACTTAAAAACAAATAAATTGATCTAAAACACTGACTTATGAAAAAAATTCAAAAGTTGAAATACTAAAACAACGAATTACATGATTCATGATTTCTGTAATTACATTTCTACTTTAAATTCCAAACATTGCGTGCCCATGAGAAATTTAGAATGACAAATGCTAATGAGACAATAAACACATACTTAACTTCTTACTTGATTTATATGCCTATTAGATAACAAACAACAAGGAAAAAAATTCGAAGTTAAAATTACGTATATACCTACTTCCAGAGATAGAGCGAACCTCTAAACCGGTCAAAGAATATACAAACGATTGATAGGCATAACACGAAGCCAATGTATCCGAAAAAGCCAAATGTGAGTTCAACAAACTGTATAGGTCTTATAAGAAAATTGAATTCAAAACTTGGCAGAGGTAGCGCCAAGTATTACCAAGAAACGAACCTTTGAGTCAGCGCCACCCTGCGGCGGACGGCTGAAGCTTTTCAATGGCAATTTTTACGACCATCTGGCACCGTCTGTGTGCGTAAAGCCCTTCACGCACACCGTCTCAATGAAACAAGTTTATTTTGTGCGTGTAGTGATCATATTTATGTGTTTGTGTCACGTTCCATGTACAAAGTTGTATCATTGTCATTTGGGTCCTTTTTGTTGCCTTCCGAGTAGATAGATGGCATTGGGGGTAGCAGTTACGAGAAAATGTTATATTGGTCTATTAGAGGCAATCTCTGCAATGTTGGGCATAGTTGTTAGTGATAGAAGTAATGAATGAAAGTATAGATAGGTAAATGGTGTTGGTTGGTTATGATAAACGAGCCACTCACCAGAATATGTGCTGGCGGGAAGCGCACGTTATTCACACATGTTTTTAGTGGGCACGTCTGGATAATATTCCGGGCGCACGTGGTGTTGCCAGCAAATTTAGGCACAAAGCACTGTAAGAGTTTAATTAAAACCGTGAAGACGTGTTGGCCAGAGCGAGGTTTTCTCATAACTGTGATAAATAGCGTGAATTTCGTTTCCCATTGCAAAAAACTTGCCGCGTAGAAATGTGGAGCGAAACTGCACTGGCTATTGTTTAGTTTGCCAATTTATACGGGTCGGTTACACTTACGCCTTTTATTGAAGCATTACCGATAAAAAGAGCCATTATGAGTTTTATAGGCAGATTTTAATGGCGATATGTACTGGCTACACTTTTGTACTTCGTTTACCGGGCCAGCCGCATAGCATACGGACCAAATAAATTCTAGTAATTAATTGCAGCAATAAACACATCGTTATGAAATCAAAAAGCTGAATAACATAAAACAATAAATAACAAAACAAACTAACCAAAATCAGTTGCCAGATTAGCACTTCCATTTTAAATTAAAACACAATTAAATTGACTCTACATTTTTGTAAATGTTATTTAGTAGACGTCTGCCACGGCATCAAAATATATCTGAACAATATTAGAAAAGAATGTCAAAGTTTACAACACCTACATCTCAGCGTATCTCAAACACTTCTAATTATAAAATCTGTGTTACGAATAAAGTGCACGTTTGATGTTTTACAAATACTATCTTCACGGTAATCAACTTTCATCAATATCCAATCTTTCTGATCCCTTTTCTAATCTGCACTCGAAATCAAAATCTGATATTCTTGGAATGACTTTCAATCTGTTGATCTTTTGATTAAGTCACAATGGCGACTGTTATCGATACCGTTTATCAGGTTTAATACGCGTAAAAAGTAGAGTTCGTTATCAAACTGTGTTCCACTTACTTATCGCAAGGTTTCTGTGGTACAAAACAGAAATTGTTATTGTGCTTCGTATATGGTGTGTGAAGACTGAGTTATTATATACTATTTTACTCGTATTACTCTTAGTACTCTACGTCTTGGTTCCTAGGTTTTGCAACTTTGCTTGAAAAGAATAGTTTCTTTTAATAACTTATATAAAAGTCATATTAGTCATCATATTGCTCGCCGACAATCGGACAAACTTGACAAATTGGTTGTGGTGGTAAAGTGGAGGAAAGAGACTCCGCGGTCGACCTCCTAGCCAATGGCACTCCATTTCACTCACTATCACTTGGTCACTACCAAGTGACCGCCCTCACTGGGGGAAGCCCTCTCTCAGGGCCGTTGTAACAGGGAGCTATAATAACGGCCCTGAGAGAGGCAGAAGACAGATCCAGATGGAAGAAAATCGTCCATAAAGTCTCGAAAACCACACGACCTTCAGCAATGAAGATAACGACTAAGCAGAAGATAAAAGCCATCTACAAATAATCTTAATATACTGCCTTCGCGGCCGAACGGTTACCATGCTTGTCTGCCACGTAGAGGTCCCGAGTACGATTCCCAGGACGAGAGAAATATTTGTATAGCCTACATTTATTTCTCTCGAGAGTTTGGGTTTAATTTATGGTAGTTCATATATGTGTCCATGACACCTGCGACACAGGGTTTTCCTAGTGCGGGGCTACGAATAAATAAGTACTGAACTAACACAAGGATGAAATTTAATAAAATAGTAAATGTTTTAAAATAAACTGGATACTCTATTTTCATGTAACCTATATTAGAACCTACAATGTAATTAGTCTCTGATAATATATCACTTTCAGCAACAAATATCGTAATATACCTAAATAAACATAAATAAGTGTGCATAAAATATGGTATTTCAAGAAAGCCTTAATGTTTCTATGATCCTTACAAACTGCATGAAGTTTACTAAATCAATACCAATCAAAAGAATTCACGTGTCGATTTGCAGTAAGCGAGAAACAATTGTTACATAACCAGCCGTATAAGAGTCGAAGGGTCGTTCAGCCATCGACCTCACCTCAGCTGATCACAGTTAAACCTTAACAGCCCTGTGACGTCATGCCTTTTTTCTCTGAATGATTTATAACCAATAAAGTCCTCCTATAACTGTACCGATTGTTCTACACCAACCGCAATGTTTAAAGTCTAAAGTTACCCTTTTCTAGGTAACCGTTATTGAAAATTGCTTTTTAGTTTTTGCTCCAGTTCTTTTTGTTATTCAAAAATTGGTTAAAGGAAGTTGCGCAATATGCAAAAAAGGGTTTGATGGATTTTTTCGTACAGTAATAAATAAGAGCTTTGTATAGTTCTTTGGGGTATTGTGAAGTTGCAACGTGCGCACGTTAGAATGTAGACGCCATAAAATTTTAAATTCTCGTTCATTTGAATAGAAGATTGTAGTTTTGTTATGTTTAAGAATATCTTTGCATTTCGTTAACAAAATTTGAAACAATGAGAGCAATGTTTTGTGTGGTGTTATAAAGCACAAAATACAGATGCTTAAAATGTAAAGATACAAAAATTTATATGAGACATATTTTGGATATAAGACGACATCACAAACATTGCTCTGATCCCAAAGTAAGTAGCTAAAGCACTTGTGTTATGGAAATCGGAAACAACGATATCATAAACACTCAGACCCAAGATAATATAGAAAAATTAGTTTTCTACATTGACCCGGCCGAGAGTCGAACCCGGGACCTCAGAGATAGCGACACCATGAAAACCGACGCGCAAGCCACTCGACCACGGAGGTTGTCACAAACAAAATTTAAATATCAAACTACTTCCAATTAGGAATAAGCTTAACAAAGTACGTTGTTTTCTCTTTATGCATCTATTTCTTATACTACAATTAGCAGTCAATTCCAAACTAATAACTTGAAGTCTAATTATCAACATTAAATGAACTAGAAAGACTATAAAAGTCAATAACCCCAATCCCAATGTTCAATTTAATGATTCAAAGACAAAATGTGTTTTAAATGCGGAAAAAGGAAATCAGTCGCAATAAAATAACCTGGATGTTCCATGGTGCTTCTCGTAACGAGAAATTTCTATTATTAGACATTATTATAAGAAGAAAACATTCACCAAGGGGACTATTTTCATATAATTGGCTATAAAATCCTGAAATTGACTGGATTTATTGCAAAACATAGAACAATAACGACGATTTGGTGGCACTTGTACAAGGGAGACAAGAATAATATTCTTTTATTATACCTACTATTACAACAAAGTACAAGATAGCCCATGTCACAATTATAAACTTACTGCACAAGAATTTCAATATCAGTAATGGATATATTGTTAATTTAAGAAATTTGTAGAATTTTTTTTAATCATAACAAGATGTGTGCTTAGTGGTAAGCAATACGCTTGTCCAAAACAGTTTCAATGCCACTCTGAGCTTGAAATGGCAAAGATCTGATGAGCACTTCCACTGCACCCGTTACCCTGAGACATAAATTGAGAAGACCTTTGTGCCTGTAATTTCACCAGCACCCTTATCCTTCAAAACTAAAACGCAGTAATGTTCACATACTTGATGGCAGAAATCGATAATGTGGCAGTACTTCTCTGGACGAACACTTTCAAAAGAGCTTTTTTGCTACTTTTATTTATATTATTATTAGTTTATTTATTTACTATGTTGAACGATATCGTCAGTTTTTAACCGATTTCAAAAAAGGAGGAGGTTTTCAATTGGACTGTATTTTTATATATATGTTTGTGAACCAATTTTGATGATTCTTTTTTTGTTGGAAAGAGGTTACCTCATTTAAATTTGAAGAAAATATTCCACGTTTAAGGGTGGCAAACTAAGGGACGAATCCGGTTTCGCGCAGTTTCAAGGTTGGTTTTTTTAGTACTCTGTACTGAGATTATTTTATAAGATACCTAATTACAAGATTACGAGTGTGGCCGGATATAAGTACCTACATACGTATAGAAGAAGAAGAAACTACAGTGAAAACGGAGAAGAATATCAAGAACGTAGCTAGTGGTTCGTACTCACTACTACTTAAGTGACAGACTGGCTTAGATAATACGTAGTAGGAAACTAAACCAAAAATGCTGTAGATATGCTGATGTATATAACAGAAAAACGTAAAAATATTAAATATTATTCAAGAATATTTAGTAATACGTATTGATTCAGATTATCAAGAATAAACGGGCACGTAGATATAAAGAAACTGATGCGAGTGCAGGAGGTCAAAAACGTTTGTCACGAGGATAATAAGTATATCCTGGTTGGTAATTCATTTGAAAAAAAAAACAAACCAATTTTTAACCAGTCCTAAATCTATTAACCACGTCATTCTTATTATAAATTTCATTTTATTTCTATGGCTTAAAAATTCACACAAAATGATAAATTAGTACGGGAAATAAAAAAAATTGGCGTGTATTTCCAAAAGACGTAAAACAAAGGTTTAAGGTTCATAGTCAGGTTGTAAACCTTGAGAAAACCTAAATGGTACAGCCACTAACAATTTGGGAGCTTGATATCCTCACTTTCTAGTTCCGGATTCGATTCCTTATAGAACCAATTTTGAAACGATATTTTCTATAATTGCTCTTTATCGATCTTTTCCATAATAGCTCTTTTTATGTCATAGCCCCGCACTAGGGAAACCCTGTATCGCGGGTGCTATGGACACACATGGACAACCACAAATTACACTCAGACTCACGAAAGAAATAGATGTAGGTCATACAAATGTTTCTCCCGGCCTGGGAATCGAACCCGAGTCCTCTGCATGGCAATCCAATATGGTAACCGTTCGGCCACGGAGGCAGTTCTGGGTAGAGCTTCCGGACAATCGTGACTCTGGTACTTACAATGAATTTCCTAGTTTGAAACCAGGTAGTTAGTGTAACAGACTAGCGCAGTAATAAATATTTATATATACTACAATATTACTCAATTAAAATATTTATGAGTTAACAAGGTACTACATAATATTAATAACTGCTAATGGAATAAAAATACATAATTAACGTCACAGTTACTAATTGAAATCACATACACAACTGTGTACGCTAGAATGTTTATTATATACATAATTACGCAGAACATGCCTCCGCCGATTGCACATATTGATTAAGCGTGTAGAAATCTGCGTAAATTATTTGTTTAAGAAGTTTTTCTTGGGTTACAAAATATTCTAATTTTAACAACATTCCAGCAACTTAAACAATACTGAAGTAAGCGTCAGATTGTCTTTCTTGCAT